TGTGTGTGTGTGTGTGTGTGTGTGTGTGTGTGTGTGTGTGTGTGTGTGTGTGTGTGTGTGTGTGTGTTTAAGCAATTGTGTATTTCAGTTGGCTTTAGAAATGAGGATCACCTAGGAAAAGACAGTAGGATGGAGATAGTACCGTACCCAACAGGAACGCCAGAAGGCATGCAATGGAGATGCAGCAATGGGAACCCTTGAGGTACCTGGGAATAAGAGTACCTTATACTAACTAGACCAGTGCATGGCGCCCGAAATCCTATCTACAGCGATCTCAAAATAAGTGTCCTGGTCCTCAGTATACACCTCGTTAGAAGAGAGAGCACTACTATTAAATGCATCGCTTTTTTCAATGTGTTGGTATGCTGCCGCGGTCTGGAGCCCAAGTCAACAGCTCAGAACAGCTCTTAGGCGTAAGGCTATATCCTACCTGTCTGTGGACTGCCAACCCATCCAAGCATCACTAAAATGGCATGGGAATATGTAACCTTGAAAAAGGCACAAGGGGGTCGGGGAATCATCGACCCATAACTGCAAATAGAGGCGCTACAAATGAACTTTAATGAACTGGTTGGTGAAATCTTAAGTAAGTAATCACTCCACCGTTTGCCCTTATGTTTCGGCAGGATCCATGAACTTCACCATAAGCCGAATAGACCATGAGCCTTTTGCCCTGCCCTATATAGAATCAATGAATTGGCCAAGTACAAAGCTTCGTCATACATGCAGGGGCAGTTTTAGGTAACTGGTAAATCCTGGGCAATGAGAGGAACTAGGACATCTCACCAAACAGGAATGACAACAGGACAATAAAGAGAACTAGCTTAGTGCCCGCACAGCGATGAATAATAAGAAAAAAAATACAGAGCGCTCATCTATGTACTTGGCCAAATTTTGCTTTCCATACCCAGCAAATATGCGGGAAAACATTCCAAAACGGACCAAAAGTATGCATGGAAAATATTTGTTATCCACTATTTGTAGTATTTGAGATATTCAAAAGGAAAACAGTTCAAATAACTGAACTTGAGCTTGAAAAAGCAGTCAGGACTGCAGAAAAAGAAATGCCAAAGCCAACCCCCCCTGCTCCCCCTGCCCCCCCCCTCTAATCAGTCAGCCACTGACTTCTGGGCCGTGACATGAAGACAGGAAAGGTATGTTATTTTAAATATTTTTTGACATTCTTATACGCAGCTGGGAAGAGCCAGGGTGCCGGGGGAGGCAGAACTCTGCATCCCCCTCCTCACCCCACTCGCCCCCTCCGAGCCTGTGACTTCTTGCCTTTAAGATGACTGTCGAAAAGGAATGTTACGCTTTGACTTCATTGCACGCAAAGCTGGGGGCTGGGGGAGGGCTCCAGCTGCCACTTGCTACTTTTTGGCTGTAACATGGAATGCAGGGAAGTAGTTTCTCACTTTATTACATGCCCCCCCAAACCCCGACTCATCGGCCAGTGACTTTTTAGCTGTGACTGCCAAACAGTCCTGTCATTCCTTGCTTAGAGTGGCTACAGCACTCTTAGGGGGGGCCACTCGGTTCGGGATGTTTGTGTTGCCTGTGGGTGATGACGGATGCTCGTTGGAGTGTTTCCCTGGCTCAGTGAGTGGTGGGAACCAACAGTCTGTGGGGTTCAATCGTGATGTGAGTAGGTCATGTGCTGCTTTGCTCCATGTTGGATGTGTGGACAGCCTCGTCTGCGCTCTGCCGCTGCCTTGCTGCTGGTCCCGCTTGCTTCGCATGTGGTTCTCTGCAAGTTGATGGGTTCGCTGTGTGGTGTGCCTGTGCTGTTGGTTTTGCCTTGTGCTTCGCTGCTTCGCTGCTCCGCTGCTCCGCTGCCTTGCTTCCCATCCGCTGGTCGTGCCTTCTGTGTTTGTTGCTTGTGTGCCTTGTAGGTTGGTTGCCTTGTTGCTGTTGCCCTGTTGCTGTTGCCTTGTGCTTCACTGCACGGTTGCCGAGCTGCTGGTCTGCTCGCCCTGCCGTCCCTTGCAGTGTGATTGCCTTGTTTGTGTGGCCTTGTGCTTCACTACACGGTTGCTCTGCTGTTCATCTGTCATCTGCTTACCATGCCGTTCCTTGCAGTCGTTTTTGGCGTTGTGCAGCCGTGTAGCGTCTACTGAGTTGCCTGGTGCTCTGCAGGGTTGCGCCCGCTGCTATGTTCCTCTTGGGGACAGTCTGCCTTCAACAAGGGTCAAAGGGTTCAGAACCCAAACCATCAAATACGGAGATTCGGCAGATTGTTGAGGGTTCAGTCCCCTGATGAGTCGGTGCGACTCCGACGAAACAATCTTTCATCACCAGCTTTTCATTTAGTTTTTCGGTCGTTGTTTCTTGCCCTGTGCTGTTTGTCTGCCCACCGTCCTCCCCTCCAGCCTGTCCTTTGCTGTTTTCTTTTATTCTGGTCGCTTTTCTGTTTTTCGATACTTGCACTTGTGCCCTCCTGCCTCCCCCATGTGCTTCAGCCTATGTGCTGCCTCACTGTTTGTTCCTCCTTGTGGTTTTTCATCCTTGTGGTTTGTCATCCTATGGTGTTGGTTCCCTGCCGTTTGCCTCACTGTCCTTTGCCTTCCCCCCATCCCTCTGTTTGTTTGTGAGGTGTTACTGCGTGT